GCGAACACAACAGGCTACTAAATTCCTTTCAATTGTTCAATTACATGTTTTGATATATTCTACCATCTAAATCATCTTCTCATCTAGTATTCAATTGTTCTATTAATGCTATGTATTCGTTGTATTAAAATTGTTCAATCCATTCAATATCTATAAAAGCACATTCCGAAACATACTACTTACAAGTAGTTTTGTCAATAGTATCTACTATATTACTTTTGTACTATTAAAACGTTTTATTTAGAATAGGTTGTATGTATATATATAAACATACATTGAAACCAAAAATAAGATTTTCATTAATTTTTCTAATCTCAAAGGAAATTCTATCCTATTTTAATTAGAAACTATCTTTATATTACTTGTTATTAGAATAGAAGTAGTAATTATGAATTCATTAAAATTACTCTTGTAATCAGTGAATATTTAATTAATCTAAGGGATGTTTATATATATATAGATATATATACAATTCTATAGTGAATAATTAATAGTATGGACAATTCAGTAGTAAATGATGATACGAGGGATTTAAAACAAAATAAAACATTTAGTTTTAATAAGAATATGAACTTCGTTTAATTTGATCATAGATGTGGACTGTTGAAGAGTTTCATATTAGGATGAAACGGAGGTCCAATGCTTTCAGGGATCAGACTATAATTTATGAATTAATTAATCAGATTTAAGATAACTCGGCCCTGGTATGGCCGAAAGTAGGGATAGTTCGAACTCCCTTTCGAAATGCTCTCACATGGCCACGCGTATATAGCCTCTACCAGGGAAGCCCTACTTACTGCCTTCACGTAGCTTTACTGTTGTTTACGAAAATGAGAGGATGAAAGGCGAATGTCCGGTGTTTTGACCGTATCGAAAACCAATGGTGCACATGGGATGGCTCCAGTATTCTGAAGCAACAAATGGCGTATGAACCAATCGTTGGTCACCGGCTGGCTACCATGGGACTGCATCACCTAACGATGCTCCACTGCCTTGTGGATCAGACGTTCAGGTCGAAGGCTCGGGGTGTGGTCCCCAAAGTAAACCACCTTGTTCGTTTTGGCACCCGAACAGTATCACAGCCCTCACACAAATCAATTGAGATTCGTGTGGCGCATATATATTTGGTGCCTCTTTGTACCAATACCTATGTGTTAAAATAATAATAAATCAGAAAAATGTTTACGAAGATTAATAATAGCAAAAATTAAGTGAATATAATAAAACATCTAATAGATGCATATTCCTGGATATTTTCTTTTCTATTTAAACAAGGTTTACACTTAATTTAATTCGTTGAATTCATAAGTCAATTAAAGGTAGATCATCATGAAAAACCTAAAAGCACCGGATGGCCGTTTTGTCCTATTATGAGACTCATCAGCAGAGCAGTTCAAAGAAAGAATAAGCCTTCATCAACATTTTAGTTGATAAACATTTTTTTTTGGTTTTATGTTGTAATCAGGAGTCTGTTTTAATGAATTGGTAACAAAATCAATTAATGAAGGATAACATATTGATTACATTATTCTTTATTCTATAAATGTATTCATACTTACATTTTATATGTTACTATATATAGATTAAACAATGAATTATGTACATAATCTTTCATTTCATAACGATATTAACTGATTAATTGATTTAATCAGCAGAAAGTCCTGTCCTTTACAAGTTATTATTCGGAAAACGTCAATAAGATAGCAGAGACTTACATCATCATCATCATCATCATCATCATCATCATCATCATCATCATCATCATCATCATCATCATCATCATCATCCAAAGGATCATCATCATCATCATCCAAAGCATCATCATCATCCAAATCATCATCATCATCATCATCCACATCATCATCATCCAAATCATCATCATCATCATCCAAATCATCATCATAATTATCCAAATAATCTTCATCCGAATCATCATCATCCCCATCATCCAAATCATCATCATCCAAATCATCATCATTATCATCCAAATCATCATCATCATCATCCAAATCATCATCATCATTATCATCCAAAGCATCATGATCATCCAAATCATCATCATCATCATCCAAATCATCATCATCATTGTTTAATGTCACATTAATTAATGTAATCCCCATGATAATTTTTAAATTCACTATAAAATGATAATAATGACAAAATGGAATGAACTCAATTATTATTGTCTATTAAAAATAGCCTAAAGCTAAATTAATTATTAAATAAGTGATCATAGTAATTTAACTAATCAGTTGAAGGATTCTAATGATTTATGAATAGAATAGAATTTTCAACAAGATTATCTAAATTAATTGAAATTTAGACATGGTAGAGAAGATTTGTAGGTCAGCTGGATGATTTTGATAGAGTTTTATTCTTTGAGCTGGATAGTTTAATCGTGGAGCTTCAAGTTGACTTCTATCTGAAGTTTGTGCTGATAATGTCATTCAGAAGAACGATAAAAACTCTATGACTAAACTATCCAACTCAGAGAATAAAATTTCATCAAGATTTAGACATATATAGGATGAATTATTGAAAGTTATCAAGAAAACAAAACTCCACCCTGTAGCTATTCTAGAATTACTGACGATCCCAAGCCCGGGTAATCAAGGAGGGTTTGGTAAGAGGTCAGCAACTCCGTTTCGTAGAAACATATCATGCTAAAAAGAACGACAAACAGATTAAACAAATTAAACCATTTAAGTGATGAAGGAAACAATAACTTAATGAGATGGATCATAAGATGACAGTTTGGTAAACACTAATAGGAAAAATAATGAGATTACACATTAATATGCTTTAAGTACCCTTAGAAAAAATAGAACACATGTGTGTCATCATTTCTTTTGAGAACTACACTTTGATAATCAGTTTCTTGTAACAGCTAAGTAATTACTTGTTGATTCACAGCTTAGTTAGTGGATCTACTTATAACGTTTCTAGTCTATTATATCTAGAGGCTAGATTCTTGATATACCGCGTACAACATGTGCAGTCGAACGCTAGAACCCTCCAAGTTATAGATGAAAAGATAGAAGACAAGTGAAAGGAATTTTATTCCGAAAACCGTGTCAAATATGGTATCAAATTCTCAAATATTTATGGTTATTAATTAAAAAGGAAATTATCATCATAGTCATCCAATCCACATACAGGGGTTTTTATCAATTGTACAGTAGGGAAGCCACATGTAGATATTCTAGAATATTCTTCCAAAAAATGACTGAATGGAGCTTCTTAGAGCTTCCTCAAGTCATCAAAAAAATACATGAAAAACCATATTGATAGTCGAAACTGAAACCTTTGCAGTATCGGTTACTATGTTAAGCCCACATAACTTATTCTAGCTATCAGATAGGCTAATTTATCCATTCTTCTTGAGTCACGTTTTCACCTTGTCAATCATTCACTTATCAACCCTGACTGTTTTATATGAGCATATGTGTGTGCACTTTATATCCTATTCATCACATATCTGTAACTTATTTTTGTTCGGCTATGAATATTAATTCAAGCTTGATTAAAAAGAGTTGAATCACACACTTTCTTCACTGCGCGCCATTTCACTTCATCCCTCTCATTTCTTGTCCATATCAGTAAGTATGCAAAATATTGTAGGACTGCTCAGCGGTGCACATCCACCACCCTACCTCGTGGGAATGTATCGCTCAATTTCGTGGATTAGTTGAAGTTAGACATTAACACCGTTGGATGCCGGCTCAGTAGTCTAAGTTCTGGTTAAGTTCTCGTGTGCGAGACAAGTAGGTTCTGAGTCTGAATCCCGCGAGGCGCGGTCGTGGATGTGCACTGCTGAGTTGTACCATAGTAAGATAAAACCGCCGTCCAGTCCCTCCAAAATTTCGATGTTTAGTCTACTTTATATCGACTCATGAATTCAACTAATAATATTTAAATATAATACAAATGTTCAGTTGATGTTGTTTTACTTATATCTTCCCATTGTTATTTAGGATTCCAATTAACCCGTCCCTTTTTGGCATATGTGTATCCTGTGCAGATTGCCTCGATATTTCCTTAAGTCACAAGCTTTATAAACAAAAATGAATTGTGGCTAGGAGTGAAATCCAGAACTCACGTTTCGCTTTATTTGGGATTCATCATATATGTGATTTCATCCTAATTAATAATTAAAATGGGTTTAAGATCAATATATAAATGTGTGTTTTAAGGGTTAATAAATCTTCGCTTATACCAATCTTTATGTCTTAACTCTCACGTCGTGGGAATTGCCGAAGTCCCTCATTTCGAGGTTAAGCGTAATAAAAGTTTCTTACACAACAATCACTGACGACCAAATATTAATAGGCAGCGTTCAATCTAACAAGATCATATCATACTACTAGCCACTATTCATCATTACCTACAATGCCCCGAAATGCCCTGGTATGGCCGAAAGTAGGGATAGTCCGAACTCCCTTTCGAAATACTGTCACACGGCCACGCGCATGCAGCCTCTGCTAGGGAAGTCCTACTCACTGCCATCTCGAGGCAGAGGTGTTGTTTACGAAAATGAGAGGATGAAAAGTGAATGTCCGGCGCTTTAACCGGATCTCAATCCGATGGTGTACATGGGCTCCAGTATCCTGCAAGAACAAATGGTGTATGAACCAACCGTTGGTCACCGGCTGGCTACCATGTGACTGCATCTCCTTACGATGCTCAACTGCCTTGTGGACCAGATCTTCAGGTCGAAGGCTCGGAGTGTGGCTCCCTAAGAAAACCACCTTGTTCGGTTTTGGCACCCGAGCAGTATCACAGCCCTTACACAAATCAATTGAGATTCGTGTGGCGCATATGTATTTGGTGTCTCCTTGTACCAATATCTATGTGTTAAAATAAATAAATAATAATAAAATAAATAATTACTTATAATACAAATGTATTAATCAATATTTGATAATATATTATAATAATAAACTTGTAATTTCTTTTTTTTTCTTTTCTTTTTTCTTCTTTTCTTTTATTATTTCTCATAGAATTACAAATTCCTCAATCCACATTGAATCAATTCCAACAAAAATCATCATCATCATCATCATCATCATCATCATCTTCATCTACATCAACTCCATCCTCATCATATTGGTCATATTCTAATAAACAACAATCAATAAAATTTAATAAACAATCTTTATTACATAATCATAAATCTAAATCTAAATTATTTTATATTAAAAATACATGTTATCAATTAATATATAATTTATGGTTATTTCTACGTTGTTTATTAACATTATTATGTTTATTACCAACATGTTTATTTCATTGGTTGCTATGTGGTATTGGTGGTGGTGGTGGTGTTAGTAGTTGTGGTAGTGGTAGTGGTAGTGGTGGTGGTGGTGGTAGTAACAAAAAATTTAAAACAATTCAACGTAGTCATAGTTTTTTATTTTATTTATATGTTACTATAAAATTATTATATTTAATTAATATTATAGGACAATTATATTTTATGAAAATATTTCTTGGTGTAAAATCATATTTTTTTGGTATTTATGTATTAAAAGATTTAATCTATGGGAATATATGGAGTGAAACAGGACATTTTCCACGTGTAACTTATTGTGATTTTGAAGCGAAAAAATTAGGAAAAAATTATAAGTAAGTCAATGAAAATTTTTATAGTAATTTTTTTTAAAAATTTATTTTGATCTCACCCCACCCCTCTCCTACCCCCTGTGTCTCACACTCGCACTCCCTCTCTCTCTCTCTCTCTCTCTATTCCCATAGAATATGCGATAGCAACAAAAAAATGAAGAAGGATATTTGTTTTTCTAATTATTTCATCATCGATAGACTATATAGTTATTTATTTACTTACTTACTTACTTACTTACTTACTTACTTAGGCCTGTTACCTACAATGAAGGATAGGCCGCTGATCAACAATCTCCAACCCACTGTGTTCTGGGCCTTCAGCTGTCGTTCTATCCAATTTTTGTTCAAACCTATGATTTCTGAAGGTAATATGTCTTACTTGTGATGGAGTTTTGAAAGGATTAACTAGCTTACAAGTACTTCCTGGTGAATTGTATAATCATAAACAGTGCGTTATATGAAACATCAAATTCAATAACCTTAACATTATTTTACGATAATGATTATAGTCATTTTGAGCTGTTTGATTATTTACTTACTTACGATTGTTAATCCTAATGGAGCATAGGTCGCTGACCAGAATTCTACATCCAAATTTATCTTGGGCCTTTCTCGCTAGTTCTATTCAATTATTGTTCACTATTCTCATTTCGGTCTGTCTCCATTTCTCGGTGTAATGCGTTCTTTGATCTCTCTCTTCTCATTCGACCTTGAGGATTACATGTGAGGGCATACCTTGTGATTTAGTTGGGTGCTTTCCTCAATGTGTGTTCTATCCACTTGCAGCACTTCTTACTGATTTCTTCCTCCACTGGAATCAGGTTTGTTCACTCCAACAGTGGGTTGTTGCTGATAGTGTCTGGTCAACAGATCCGAAGTATTTTGCTCAGGCTGCACAGTTATAAGACCATAATTATTGTTTTCTTTTACAATGGCTAAAAATAAGGCATGTATTAATGAATTTGACAAGGACATTTCATACCACCAAGTTACAAATCATTTTCACAACTAAACCAGTACTTACACAACAAATTAAGGATAGGTTACTAATAATAAGCTCCTCCAAGTGTGTATATCAATTCAACTGCTCCTGTAGAGCTAGTTACATAGGCGGTACTCATAGAGCTTTCTTATTGTGTGTTCATGAACATGTACTAGCATGGATGGGAAAAGAAGTTACTAAGTCGATCGACAACACTATTCTTTCTTACTTGGTAGATAGTTAACATCAATCAGGTATAAGATAATAGATCTCAGATTTCGGTGCGAAAGCATTTCATCCATTTGGCTAAACAGATTTCTGGCATTATAGCTGATGTCACTTGGTGATAAAAACCCTATATATAATTCCTAATTAAGGCAAATTATGACAATTATTGCGAACTGGATAATGAAAGCACCAGTTACACTGGTTACTGCTAGGTACTACAATATATACGGATGATTCCAGAGTATACAGACTCCTACATAGGATTGGTTATGTGCATCGTGTCATTATTCCCAAGTGGCATTTTGCCTACTCAACAACCGGAGTGCACACAAACAGTATTGATGCTATATGGTCGATGCTGAATGAGTTTTGAGACTTGATCATGGCTCCAGATGCCAACTATTCTGTAGCCATATGGATGATTTCCTCTACTGTATGCACTACGATTTTAGAACCTCTGAACCTCTTTCAAACCTCGACAAGTTTCTGAACCGCTTATAAGAAGTGTATCCACTTTATTTCTTTGGTTTTGTATAATATATTTTTACTCTATATTTACTGTTTTCTGATTGGTTAATATTTCCCAAGGTGACTTAAGATTCGTTCAAATGTCATCCATAAATTAGAGTCTCCCCGGTGTTGTATTTATTCCATGATGAAAATCTATTTTATGAAAAGTCAAAATTAATTAAAATGAAATATAAGAACTATAAAGTAAATAGGGATTTTTGCATTACTTGAATGAAACTTTGTACTTATACTGAATGACTTTGTAATTTTAGCCATTGAAATAGGATGTTTATAATAAGTTGAGTTATATTTCACTAATCATTATGTTTAAACTATAAACTTATTCAAAGAAGGGGTTTTATGAATGGAATTGATGAGTCCATTGAAGTTAGACCAACATGGAGAATTTGGAAGTACTGGACTCCTCAGCAGTGCACATTCATTATCCTGCTTCATGAGAATTTAATCTAGGACATATCAGTCTGGTGCATGAACGCTTAACCTCTAGACCACTGAGCTTTCCAGCATCCAATGATGTGAATGCCTAACTAGGATGAAATGGTCATCCAGTAATTGCAGATTTCCTATGATGGTTTAGTTTCAATGGACTTATGAATTCAACTATTAGAATTAAATAAATTCTATATCTAGTACCTATAATATCTAGTGTATAGAAGTCCTTCAAGTGATTTTCAAGTTCCAAAGGGATTCTATATGTCGTACTGTTACTACATAGAGTACTTGACATAACTTTTCAAGAACATTTCATTTTAAAGACAATAAAGTACACATATCTTATTTATAGTAAGATAAAAATCCGTTGTCGAGTTTTATAATATTGACTGGATCATGAAGACGTCAACATCTAAGGAGAAGCATTGGATAAAATGGACATATAGGATGCAGTTAGACGATCTAGACTTCGCAGATGATCTGGCTCCTCCATCACACACGCAACAACAATTGCAGGAGAAGACGACCAGTGTAGCAGCAGCCTCAGTAGCGGTAGATCTCAACATACACAAAAGGAAGAGCAAGATTCTCCGATACAACGCAGAACGCAAAAATCGATTCACAATTGACGGAGAAGATTTGGAAGATGTAAATAACTTTACATATTTGGACAGCATCATCAATGACCATGGTGGTGGATCTAATGTAGATGTGAAGGCGCGAATCGGCAAAGCAAGAGCAGCATATCTACAATTGAAGAACATCTGCAAATCGAAACAACTGTCTGTCAACCAACACCAAAGTCATAATTTTCATTACAAATGTCAAGACAGTACTACTGTATGTGGTGGAAACTTGGAGAACTACGAAATCTATCATCCACAAGATACAAGTGTTTATTAACAGTTGTCTACGCAAAATACTTCAGATCCGTTGGTTAGACACTGTTAGCAACAACTCATTATGGGAGAGAACAAACCAGATTCCAGTGGAGGAAGAAGTGTATAGGACACATATTGAGGAAAGCACTGAACTGCATCACAAGACAAGCCCTCACATGGAATCCTCTAGGTCAAAGGAGAAGAGGAAGACCAAAGAACACGTTAAACCGAGAACTCGAGACAGATATGAGAAAAGTGAACAATAATTGGATAGAATTAGTGAGAAAGCCTCAGAATATATTTGGATGAAGAATGATGTTCGGTGACCTGTGCTTTATAGGGATTAACAGGCTTAAGTAAGTTATTAAGTAATATAAGTTATATCCTAGTGAAGATTAAATTACGGGTAACGTCTGAGATCTATTAGTAGACTATTACTATGTATATATTCGTTTAGTAACTAGATAATGTATATCTATAATCCTCTTTTTATAAGCTTCATTTTGATCTATAGACTATTATGATACAATTTATTACTCTTAAGTTTTGTTCAATTAATTGATTACGGTCTTACATATTCACAGCCACATTTTGATTTGAGCTTGTATAAATGTTATTTCCTATTTTATGTTGTGATTCGATCTGTCTGACTGGTATATAAACCAAATATGCTTGTAATAAACGATTCACATAGTGAAGACTGTTATTGGTATTTTAAACTCAACTGAAAGGGCTAGGCAAACAAAGAATCAAAAAGGATGTTAGACTGCTCATATCTCAATTAAATAGTTAAGTTCTCGTGTGCAAAACTGATAAGTCATAGGTTCGAATTTCACGGGGGGGGAAGAAGGGTTCGTGGATGTACACTGTTGAAGAATCCCATACTAGGACGAAACAGCCATCCAGTGCTTCCAAATTTTCCATTGGTGGTCTAGCTTCAATTGACTTATGATTTCAACTTATAACCGCCAATTAGAAAGCAGTGAATTATCGATCGAACCAATGATGCGTAAAACACGTACGAGTAGTCTACAGTACTGATTGGTCCTATTTTCTGTCTAGCCCATCTAGTTAAGTTCAGAACACCAATCTGAGCCTCTGCAATATGAATCATACTATTAATCAAATAGATCACAACATATCAGCCAAATGTGGCTGTGAATAAGGGAGATAATAATTGATAGACAAAGTATAATTCAAGAATGGTAAATTGTATAATAACAATTCATAGATCAAAATAAAGCTCATCATAAGAGGGATATGAATATGTGAATAGTTTAGCTACATTACCATTATACGACGAAAGTATACATAAAGTATTATTCCATAAATGGATCCCAACATTTACTATTCATTATGATTTTATCTGAACCGAACACAATGGTTTTGATACCACACTAAAATCGTATAACTCATATATTGATTATCAAATCAATCACATAATCATTCACCATTATACATTCTCATGTATCTATCTACATATATATATATATATATATCACTATGTTTTTCTTTTCTTTTTTTTTTCTTACCTCATTTTTTCTTTTGTTTTTCTTTTTGTTTTTCTTTTTTGTTTTTTTTCTTTTATAGATATACTTTACAATGTGTATTACCATTAAATTTATTTTTAGAAAAAGTTTATGTATTTCTATGGTATTGGTATTTATTTATTGGTTTATTAACATTATATAGTTTTATAAAATGGTTATTACGTTTAACTATACCTAATAAACATATTGAATTTATACAAAAATATTTATTGATTTCATTTAATAATCAATCAATTAATCAATTTAATCAATATCATTTACAATTATTTATAAATCAATATTTAAATCTTGATGGTTTATTTATATTATGGTTATTATCTATGAATATGAATGATATATTTATGAATCATTTATTGATTTTATTATGGAATTTATTTATAACAAGATTATATACATTTAAATCAATATCATTATTAAAAATCAATAATTCATTGATTAATTCATTCAATAATAATAATAATAATGAAAATCAATCCAATTTATTATTATTTAAATCAATAATTAATCAAAATAATAATTATAGAAATACATTACAATATTCATCATTATTAAATTATCCTAATGATAATCAATTCTATTTTAATCATAATCAATTTATAGATTTGAAAGAATTTCAATCATATTATTATCCAAGAAGTAAATCTGAAGAAATAATGAATATTACCATAACTACCACTACTACTACTACTACTACTACTAATACAACAACTACTAATACTACTAATAGTAATAATAATAATAATAATAGTAATCATGATCATACGAACATTTGTCATTCAACAGATATATTTGAAAGTTCAGATAGTATTGTATAACACATTCATAATCATCATTATGATTTGTTTGTTTGTTTGTGTGTGTATGTATGTGTGTATGTGTATTTGTGTAAATTTTATACAAAATAAAAATATATACTCATTAGTGATTGGTTTTTTCAGTTCTAATGAGAACTGGGTTTGTTGTAAGATAGTAACTGATTGATGAGAATGATAGACGGTGGTTTAGTGATTTAGAGGTTAAATGTTCACGTGTGAGACTGATAGATCTTGAGTTTGAATCTGTTTTGTGTGTGTGTGTGGGGGGGGGGAGAGAATCGTGGATGGTCACTATTGAGCATTCTCATATTAGAATGAAATGGCTGTCCAACATTATATACATTCAAATCAATATCATTATTAAAAATCAATAATTCACTGATGAATCCATTCAATAATAATAATAATAATAATAGCAATGGTGATATTACTGATAATACGAACATTTGTCATTCAACAGATATATTTGAAAGTTCAGATAGTATTGTATAACACATTCATAATCATCATTATGATTTGTTTGTTTGTTTGTGTGTGTGTATGTGTGTGTATTTGTGTAAATTTTATACAAAATAAAAATATATATTCTTGGGTTATTGATTTTCAGAGATATTTCTAGTGAGTTCTAGTGGGAAATAGTGATCCGTAGAATTTATACTAGGTCTGTTATGAGATCGTAACTGATTGATGAGAATGGTAGACGGTGGGTTAGTGATTTAGAGGTTAAATGTTCACGTGTGAGAGTGATAGATTTTGGGTTTGAATCTATTTTGTGTGTGGGGGGGGAGGAGAATCGTAGATGGTCATTATTAAGGATTCTCATATTAGGATGAAATGGCTATCCAGTGATTTCAAGTATTCCATAGTGGCTTGGCTTTAATTGACTCAGGATTTCAACAATTAAAATAGAATGCACTTAGTTCTCTGTTTATCAGTTGATACCAGTAATTAGTAACTAGTATTATTGTTCAGTATGGAACAATGAATTATGCATTTGTTTTAGTCTCGTCAGTTAAATGAACTTGTGGTTTGAGAAGAATAAATAAATTAGTTTATTCAGAAGTTAGAATAAATAACCTATGTGAACTTGACATAGTATCAGTCACTACAACTTCATTTAAATTCTATGATAATAGAATTGTAGTATCAGTTACTATGTTAAGCCCATATACTTTATTCTAGCTATTGGAAAAGCATTCAGAGAGAGGAATGAAATGAGAAGATGTGTGAGCTAATTCTATTCAATCAAGCGTTAATGAATATTTATAGTCAAACAAAAATAAATTACAGACATTTCATGAAAAGGATAAATAGCGTACACATATATGCACTCATATCAAAACAGTCAAGATTGATAAGTGAATAATTAACAAGGTTAAAAAGTAACGGAACAATGGATAAATTGGCTTATTCAAGAGATTAACTGCTAGGTTTGGAGCTATTACGAGTTCACTTAATATACAAACGGAACAAAGACTCAGTGACCAATGACCAATAAGCTAGATATTCTGATGCGTCCCATCCCCCCCCCTAACTAGAGGAAGAAGTCCAAGCTTAGAGTGGAGAAGTATATTCTGAAAACAGCCAGAAACGAGCAATCACAACGAACACAAATCGAAACGTATATATACAGCACAAAACAATCCATGGGGAGAGTTACCAAATAGCATACTAAAAGACACAACGGACCAATAGCATTTAAGATATTTTCCAAGTGGGAAATACGACATAAAGGTGACAAGAGCGCCTTTGGCGCGAAAACAAAGAAATTCAAATTTTCGAAATAAAATTACATAATTAGGTCCTTTTCCAAGTGAGTTCTGGCGATCCAACGTCCCCAACATTAACATAGTTATCGACGCTACAATATGTCAGAAATGAAATAGATAAAAGCTTACAGAATAGTATGATACTTATGTAACAACCTAAGTTAACAAACCTTGGACAACATGGATTAATGGGTTTCGAATCAATAGTCTAAATCTATCATACTCTAGTTTTAGTCTACTAATTATATATAGCTTCTATCATCAAAGGTCACTGATCTGCCCAGCGGATATTATAATTACCGTAATGACAAGACGTAATATGAATAGGAACAATAGACTTAGTATATTAGTAACGAATTGCAACGTGAATGTAGTAAGATGATTAAATAAAGCGGTAAGATGAGTGTTTATAAATAGAATAGTGAAAATATAAGACATAAGTAAAGAAAGAATGCAGTAATATTAATAATAATAATAATAATAATAATAATAATAATAATAATAATAATAGTATTTATGAGAGCCAAGGTAACGATAACGATAAGACGTACTTCTTTTGTATGCATAGTTCTAGTTTGAGCTCATGGATGATAAGAGCTTCGGCTGCTTTTTTTAAGAGTTAGATAAGAAGAAATCTAGGTACCTTTCTTCTTGATAATTGAATAGGTTGATTGTGAATACAGTGGTCTTGAGTGCTGTTAGAGGTATGAGGGCGGTTATCACTTCCCGGTTGCCCACACCGTGGAAGGGTTCTGCTGGAGGTACCTCAAAGGGAAATTGGATTAGAGGTGGTCATAGTGACCTGAGAGCATGACCGCAGTGCCCAAGGGACAGCTGCTTGAGGTCGGTCACACACGACCTTTTAATGAGTAATTTTTGTGTTAGCTCCGTACTTGTTGAGACCTTACCGCCGGAGACGGATATCCGTGGGATAATTGAGAGATACAAGTGAAAGCAACCCATTTTAAGTAGACAAATTACTTATTAGATCAAGACTAGCACCCACTTCCTCTATTATGGGTTAATCAAAACATGAATGAATAAAAGATATGTGATCGTTAATACCCAGCTTTTGACATTCAAACCTTCATATCTATCATTGAGTTCGTCAAATATTTAGAAATAAGTGAATCATTGCATGAATGAAAATAAAACACAGAACAGAGTAAAGTACCTGAGTCCATTTTCTACTGTAATTGATGGCAGACATTTCTGACTGGCCACAAACTCAAATAAATGAAGTTTAGTACTTTTTGATTGTTCTTTATATGGTTTTAATTGATAATTAAATTATTATAAAGACAATCTACTTTTCTCTATAACTGTAAATACTTGTTTCCACAATGATGGATAGTGATTAGCAGTAGAATATAGGATACGCGTTACGTCCTATTTGGGACGTGTCAAAATGGATGTACTCGCATTCTAGAGTTGATGTTCACTGTGGGACTCGAATCCAGTACCGTTCACTTCAATCACCATCGAGATTCATAAATGGGACAAAACGTATATCCTAGATTTCACTCCTAGCCACTATCCATCTTTGTCTATAAAGTTTATGACTTTAAGCAATATCGAGGCAGTCCGCACAATATATACACATGCCAACAAGAGATTGATCAATTGCAGTCTTAAATAACAATTGAAAGGTACAAATAAAACAACATCAAAGGAATTTAAAACTTGTTCCCACAGTTGGTAATAATGAGTCTCAGTTAGTTTATACCAAAATTCGATGATGATTATCAGGCAAATAAGAAGTTTTTTTTTCAATACTAATAGCATTTAGAAGGTTATTTCCCCTTTACATAGTTTATAGGATTTCTCCTTATGAGTATATTTACTAACTAAACATCATAGAGTATAATCAATCGATTTTATTGATTAATTGATCTCTTCAGTTTAAGAATCTTTTAGATAATCTTTAATTTGAAATCATAAATACTTGTTTAGCAACTAAATTGTAACATCATAATCAATATGGATAGATAAATGTTCATTTTCTTTAATAAATTTTCGTTTACTTTACATAAAACTTTCGACTTCAATTTCATATTCATTTATGAAATCTCTAATTAATCGATCAGATCAGTTAATATTCTTAAACCATTTTGTATAAAATTGCCCTCCACACGATCTAGCTGTTAATGAGTAAGTGAATCTTTAATTGAACATAGAAATTGTCATAATTCACAGCGGAATGTTCGATCCACTTGTCAATATTAGTTGCCTAGCGGATACTATAATTTAATTGTTAATGATATTGATCTATATTATGATACATTTCTACATAGTTTATGAAAACAGGATCTAATAAAAGGTATGTGATGATCCAGATCATTGAGGAGACTAACCGCCTATATTCAATTACTTACTTACTTACTTACGCCTGTTACTCCCAATGGAGCATAGGCCGCCGACCAGCATTCTCCAATCCACTCTGTCCGGGGCCTTCTTTTCTAGTTCCATCCAATTCTTGTTCACTATATTCAATTACCATACACTAATTATTTCATTTGCAAATTTCAATCATTTGTCCTTCACTATGATTCTTTCAATCCATAATTACTAACTGCTTTTTTTTTTCCTTTTATACTCTTCAACTTAATTTTCTTAGACTTCTACTGCCAGATTTTTTATTTTCAACTGGTTTTATATACTATTTATGTTTGTCATCAATATAAGTAGCATATACCACAGGTATACTGAATTTCACAAACCATTCATACAGAGTATAAGACTATATGAATGAAATAAACATTTGTTATAGACAATGTAGACAAACTAAAGTATTCCTGAAATCCGTTTATCACTTTATACGTATTCACATATTCTATCTCTGATAACACCACAGATTTACAAAGATAACTGCCAGATATGTATTATAATTGTTAGAATACCATTATAACCTTGAGATGGTGGAGAAAATTTGTATCTCACGTGGATGATTTTGATGGAATTTTATTCTCTGAACTGGATGGTTTGGTCGTGGAGCTCTCATCGTTCTTCTGAACGACATCATTTACAGCACAAACTTCAGATAGAAATGAAGTGTTCAAAATTCTCCATGTACGTTTCACAGCTTGTTCTGTACACCTCGAAGTTGATTGGTTCTTATTGACTGAATAATATATTCTCCTATCCTTATTATTATTGATTGTTCGTTGTTGTTGGATTGTGTCGGGTTTTTTTGGTGTGGAAATATATTTACGTTGTGATCAGGCTAATCAA